CCAAGCTTGGGCTACCTGTGGTTTATGGCGACACTTCTTTGGATGCACTGCATTTCGATTAAACATAAAGATTAAGCAAAAGTTTAATCTAACCAAACATGGCTTTTATTTACCGACCTACAAGCCTGCTTCCCAGGTTACGGAACTTCACACTCGCTAGACCAGCGTGTGCAGCATTAAAGACTTCAGTTCGCCTTCAAGAAACCAATACAACCACAGCAAGCAAAGATCAAGTCAAATCGTACAACGAAATCCCAGGTTCGGGAACCCTCAAGTCTCTTTACAATTTTCTCTTAAAAGATGGAATATCTCGAATTCATCTAAACCAGGAAGAATCAAGAGACAGATACGGTCCCATTTGTCGAGAGATTCTGGGGCCTTTTAAGACAGTGTATGTCTTTGATCCCGATGTGGTTCAGCAAGTGTTCCAAAATGAAGGAGAGTATCCAGCAAGAGAACCCTCTTCCCCAATATGGCAGATGTACAAGAAAGACCGAGGTCAAAGCGAAGGAGTTTTAACTCTGTAAGTACATTAATAGACGTGAATGTCTTCGTGGGTATGTTTTAAAGACGACATCTAATCAAGCTAGGAGTCACTAGTTAGGCAAAAGTGATAAGAAATATGAAAAACAAGAATGAGGTTTGATTGAGTCCAGACACAAGATAGTTTCCTAAACTAGAGAAGAATACTATAAAACCTGTGCCCTTCTTATGCTTGTTGACATTCGAAGGATGCAAAGTATTTCGATCGATTTCATAATTTAATTATTCAATTTAGCTGGAGCAATCGTCCTTCTATTTTCCCTTTAACACCTACTTTGTTTACTTCTTTGTTGTTTTGTTGAGTTTGGAAGCGAATTCTGTTATAAATTAATTGTCTGAACTGCAATTAATGTGAAAGACGACTTCGACTTAATTACCGTCGAGAGGTTAGCCCGGGACTTCAGCCCGGGATTCGCCAGCCGCGGATTCCATGAACGTAAACCAGTTGTTTTATTTTTTTATTTTTCCAATTAAACCTCTTYACTAATTGTCCTAAAGTCGTTCAAAACACACCATTACATTCACCGACTTGTCTAGATACCCGGGACCCGGGAACGATTTTCAAAATACTAGATACCCGGGAGCTTTTTAATTTTCATGAAAAACACATCTAATAATAACTTTTATGGATTCAAAGTTTTCTAGCTTTGTTTAGGATTAGAAAGCGCTTCTTCGAAACCCTAGACATTTGAAAGATACATATTTGGCGTGTCTCGGCATAGTATGTGGACGGCGTCTCAGTTGTGGCACTTAGAAAAATTTCGACCATAAACAAACTCACGGGATCGATCATGAACGAATTATAAATTGAGATACTCTCATTCTTCGTAAAGAGATGCAAAAAAGACTATAARAAAGTGCTATTGTTATGTTTTTAAACCAAGGAAAAAACATTTCTTGCGTGACACAAAGATTTGTTTGTGTCACGGATAGTTTAAGCTTATATTTTCGGTTACATTTAGTGATGATTATCGAGGAAAAAGCGATAATCTAATAAGCAATCGACGGCATCCACTTAGCATTATTAATGCACAAGGGTCGTTTTTTTGATCGATGTTTTTGCAAAATCCAAGCGACTGCCGGGTATCTAGCAATTTGAGAATTGGTCCCGGGAGTCAAGTACGGATATCTGCATGCAAACATACCTTGATTTCTAAATTAATTAC